ACAAGTGCTGGTAAGGATGTGGAGAAAAAGGAACCCTTATGCACTGCTGATGGGATTTAAATTGGTGCAGAAAACAGAAAACAGTATGGAGATTCCTCAAAAAATAAAAAATAGAATGGCCATACAACTCAGCGATACTACTTCTATCCACTATTTATTCAAAGAAAAGCAAAATACTAGTTTGAAAAGTTATGTGTATCCCTATGTTCATTGCAGCATTATTTACAATAGTCAAGATATGGAAGCAACCTAGATATCCGCCGACAGATGAATGGATAAAGATGTGAGAATAATATGCTCAGCAATGAAAAAGAATAAAATCTTGCCACTTGTAACAACATGGATGGACCTAGAAGGTATTATGCTAATTGAAATAAATCAGAGAAAGACAAAACCCTTATGATTTCACTTGTATGTGGAATCTTAAAAAATAAGACAAATGAATAAACAAAACAAAACAGAAATGGAGCCATAGATAAAGAGAACAAACTGATGTTTGCCAAAGGAGAGGGAGGTAGGGAGATGAGAGAAAACGAAACAAACAAAAACAAACAAAAAAATGAATTTTATTACCAGATAAGAAGAATTACCAGAATGGATAATTCTTCTTATTACCAGAATGGATACTGACTGAACAATTAGCAGACTTATAGTAATAAAACTTTATAAATTCTATGATTTATTGGTCAATTAGAACATCTGTTTTTCCTTATGGCATATTTTTGTGAAAATAGAATATTTTTGTATAAGGCATGACTTAGAAGTAATACTTAATTTTTTTCCAATAGTCACAGTCTGGCACTATTTATTGAGTAATACATTCTTTCCCTCATTGATTTAAAATTCAGTTTTTATCACTTACCTATCAAACAGTAAACATTATACATGAATCTGTGTATCAACTCCATTCAGTTCCATCAATCCATTTTGTAGATTTTTGCAACTGTGTTATACTGTTCTATTTACCGTGGCATTAAAGTATATATTTATAGTTGATATATTCAGTCTCCCTCAGTTCTCCTTCAATTTTCATGGCTAATGGCTCTTCTACTATTTTGTCATTGTGTATTTTAACCTAAAAAATTCCTTATTATCATTTTAATGTGGCCTTGGAATGAGAGAAGGTAGATGGAATTGTAATCGTCTGCCTTACATAATGATTCTTTCACCTATTTTTATTCTGATTTTACTTAGTCACCCATTGAGATTTCTCAGATTTTTTGTTAAAATCATATGGAAGTTATCTCTTAAAACCTCTTTCTAATAATTAAACTCTACAACCACATTATTAATTATTTTTATACTTAATCATACATTTTATTACCTTTAATCCTTATTACATTTTCTTATATAACATGTCTTCTCTTTTCTTAAGTTCATTATTTTGGCTTTTCTTTTTTTTTTTTCTTCTTGGCTAGAATAGAACTTCAAGTAATTTTTTTAAAAAATAGATTATTTGGGTGATATAATTTCTGTGTCTTTGAACGTGCCTTTCATTTGTCATCACATATGAGAGAAATTATAGCTTGGCAATTGGTAGAATTCTTGAGTTACAATAATATTCTCTTAGAATTCTATAAAAATCATGCCACTTTGCTTTTAGCACGTAGAGAGATGTGAAGTATGATGTGCCTGGTTTTCTTTCTTTTAACCAGCTTGATTTTTCTTCCCTATAGGAAGCTTGTAATTGTATCTCTGTTTTTGGAGTGTGCAGA